TATATATATATATATATATATATATATATATATATATATGTATATGTATATATATATACATATATATACATATGTACATATATACATACATATACATGTATATATATATATATATATATATATATATATACATACATATATATATATATATACATACACGCATATATGTATATGAATATGTATATAAATATATATATATATATATATATATATATATATGTATATATATATATACACATACATACATATGTGTATATATATATATATATATACACATACATATATATATATATATATATAAATTATATATTTATATATATATTGTACAAAACTAATAGTACAAAACGCGATAAAGCACAAAACAGTATCAGCCATGGAATATGATATTGTATCGGTGAACATGAAAGCTTCTGTACGGTCGATAACGTATGGGCAATAGTAATACTTAACAAAAGTGTTCAAGCGAAAAAACGAACGAAAGCACTGGTACTAAGAAAATACAAAGAGTAAGAGAAAAAGAGAAAGAGAGAGAGAGAGAAAGAGAGAGAAGAGAAAGAAGAGAAAGAAAGAAGGCAGGGAGAGAGAAAGAAAAAGAGAAAAGGTATGGGAAAGAAGGCAAGGGTTGACATAGGGAAAGAGGGAGAGAGGAGGGAGAAAGAGAAAGAAAAAAGGAAATGAAAGGTACGGAGAAGGGAGAAAGAGAAAGAAAAAAGGAAAAGAAAGGGTACGAAAGGGAAAAGGCAAGGGTTGACATAGGAAAACAGGGAGAGGGAGAGGGAGAGGGAGAGGGAGAGGGAGGGAGAGGGAGAGAGAGAGAGAGAGAGAGAGAGAGCGTGTCACAAGTAATCGTCCAGCTAGCCAGCGCATCCAAACTGAAAGTTGTATAAACGGCATTTCTCTTCTCTTTCTTTTCATGTGAATCGTTCGTATCACAAGCGCCGTATCGTCCCACAGACTAGCATATAGTGTATATAATTTCAGTGCATTGCGTGTATATGCGCCATCACAAATCACACACAATACTCTTCTGTCACAACACTGCGTTCTCATTTGTTTGATTGTATAACTGCTCAGGCGGTCTTTCGGTTTTTCTTTTTTCGTCTCCCGTGCGATTGTCGTTCGACTCAGTTGGTATCTCTTCTTCGTACACATTACGACGCACAACTTCGAAGAAAAAAAATAGAAAAAACAGAAAAACAAACAAAAATCGCGCGAAGAGGCGCAAGAAACGTGTGTCTCCATGTACAATCGGTCGGCCGCAGAGATCTCTCTGCGTTTCAACGCGTATTTGTATTGACGCATTAAAATTGTAAACACCTTTCTCAATTCTCTGTGTACACAAAAGGTGTGCTTTTAGTGCGTAAGTCGTTGCGGTCTGATTTAGATGCAGCCATCTTATCTGACAAAATATTTCAACATTAGACAAACAGCATGAACAAGAAAAGAAAAGAAATACGACGCATGTACTTATGAGTAGCAACTTATGCTATCTCAATCATTCGTCTACTTCTGCTTGTGTACAGTAAATGAAAGAACTTTTCGAAATATTTTATGGAGGAAAGATGCTGTACGCACGCGCGCGCGCGCGCATGTGTGTATGTGTGTTTGTATGTATATGTGAGTGTGTGCGTGCGCGCAATACGTCGTAAAACGCGCAAATACAACAATAATTGCGACACATTGAGGCATTGCATCGTAAGAATCATCTACACTACCAATCCGAAAATATTCAAATATGAAGGATATCGAGTACGCAAATGAAAAGATCGCATTTGATCGGAAAACTGTGTCACAAGCAATTTGAGAGTAAACTAATTATATATATCTGGGTCTCAAACACATGAAACAACACAGTAATCGTAATAGAAATGCAAATAACTTAACTATACTTCAGCATAGAATCGTTAGAAGCCAAAATGCAAATTCTACCTAGCAGCGGTAATTTCACTCTTTCCCTCTCGAGTAACATCGGATAATTTTAGATTAGAGCACAAAACACAATGCACGTGAAAGAGCACGCATGATGATTTATCGATTACCACTGCCAAGTCGTAAGATAAAGTCTATTAATCTCCGTGTCCTAGTATAAAATCACTTACCGCGACTTTGATTGTACCCGGCTTGCCACCCCGCGTAATACGCCGCTTTTTGTTTCCCATGCTCCTCGGCAATTTTTACGCTAAGTGGCTCTGACCCACCCTCTGGTATCGTACCGTGAAGTCGCGCGATCGCCTCCTGTGCTTCTTCTCTCTTATCGAAACTGAAATCAAATCATGGCAATTAGATGAGATAATTTCATGCGCGCACGGATAAGCTGCAAAAGTACGTGCGAATGTTTTTCAGGCAAGACTTCAGACAAAACTGATGCACACATGTGTATTTTTATTACTTATTTATCAGACGATAATTTTAAATGCACGCGGAAGAAATTAACAATAAATTCCTCAACCAAAGAGCCCTTCCGACTTGTGCAATTTATACGTTCCGGTTCATTATTTTTCAGTGCACACATTACGGTAGTAAAATATTAATATTATTTTATAATATACAAAATATCTAACGTGAGACATGTCAACACACATTTGCAAATAGATTAGGTTAAACTAAACAGAAAATTCCGCTACCATTTTTTAAACAATCGCAAAATTTTAAGTTATTAATCAAAGAAAATTTGTGAATGATCACGCGCCATACGATAAATAAGCTGTGATAACTATGTCCGCTGCTGTACGCTTGTATTAGGTCAGATTTAACAAAAAAGTCCTCTATTACCTTGTAAATAATCATGTAGATTCTAAGTTATTAATTAAAGAAAATTGGTACATGATTATTGCGTGATAACACATCAAACTTTTTTAATTAATAACTAAAGATCTATGTGATTATTTTTAAAATGGTAGAGAACGTTTTTGTTCAGTTTGACCTGATCTACAAACACGACGGCAGGTGTCTCTATTACAACTCATCTGTCTTATCGCGCGTGATCACATTCGCCAATCTTCTTCAATTAGTAATCCAACATTTTACGTGATTGTTTGCAAAGTGATAGAAAAATTTTGTGTTCAGTTTGATCCAATTTACATGTACACATTTATATTTACATGTACGTGCATGTCTTGCGTTAGACATTCTATGTATATAACATGTAATGGATTAAGTTTTAAATCAAAACAACTTGTGCTTTCCATAATAACCCTGACCCGCCGGTGGATTACTCGAACGTTTTGCGGAAAACTGAGACAGAGTAAAGGGAGCGTATCTACAATTATGCAATATTGAAACCAGGAGCTGCACAAAAATACTTTGGCAAGAAACTTTCGCAAAGTAAATATGCGCGTGGTGCATGCACGACTGCGTTGTGCAACGATGTAGTAAGATCGCTGCAAACAGCTGTTTGGAGAATGTTCCAATTTCAAATACCGCGTTATTTATACGTGTACGCATTCGACGAGAATATGCAAAAGTGTTATGTTAAATCAAGTACAGCACAGAATTTTGAAGAATTTGGTTCATGAGATAATTGCATCCGTAAAAAGAGGGAAAAAATATCTGAAAATCAAAATCATAGTCTTCTGAGTGTGTACAAACATATACAAACATACAGTACGGTCGTGGACAAAAGGATACCCGTAGTTTTGAGGCTGTGTCATCTGTCTTGTCCCAGAATTATCTCATTGGACAAGACTGCTGAGTCTGCAAGCTCAACCCAAAAATGACGGACAACTTTTCTGTCCATAATCGCACAC